GTCAGGATACGGCTCCTGACCACTGCAAGCTTCTCCCGCTTGGTCAGACAGGGGTTCCGGAGGATACGATTCTTAACAGGGCGAAACATATCCCGAGCCAGCTTGAGGCGGTGTTTGACATCTGGCAAAGAGAATCCATCAGCCTGCACTGTGGATCCCAAGTACTCATACGCAGGCGCTACACGGATCTGGCCTGCGTTCCGCGCCGTGGAGAAAGGGATCTGCGGACACTCCGAGCAAAAGACGTCGCGTCTCACCTGCTTTGCCCCCTGGCCATTGAGACTAAGTAGTGCCTCGGTCTTGCCTGCTCCATGGTTGGCCCGGAGGCCTGCTTGCTGGAGCTCATCAGTGAAGAAGCCGATGACCTGTGCCACAGCTCCTGGGACGTCAACCGCCGCCTCAGTGCGGAGCAGAATGCTGACGTCGTCGGCCCATGTGGGCGTGTAGCCAGGGCCTTTTTCAGAGGCGAACGTGGCCTGTAAGCCCGACTCTGCCAGGAAGCCGGCCATTCGCGAAAGTAGCCGCCCGAAGATCAGGGAGAACATAACATCCGCTAAGGGTGCCCCGGGGGCAGTCCCGCTCTTTGCCACATAAGCCTCGGCTGCGTCGACCCTGCTGATGTACCAAGTCTGGTCCAACTGTTTTTGCAAGAAGGTCTGCAGAGCTGGCGGAAGGGCTTCGGACACGTCGTCCGCACTGCCACGCAAGATGCTGATGAAATCATCCTGAAGGCCCCTGTCATCAAAGATTGCCCTAGCTCTGGCACGCAACAACTCTTCGTCCTGTTTTTGCTCCCATGTCAGGGCCAGAAAATCCTTGGCAATGGAATAGTACGCTGCGGCTGAGTCAATGAATATCACAGCGCCACTGGCCTTGGTACGCTTGAGGTTGGCCAGATGAGCCTTCACACAGGCAGCCGGCAGGCTCAGTGTAAATCCCGGCCTGCCTCCCATCTGGTCGGGCGTCCCCAGCCTTGGGAGGGCCTCAAGCAGTTGAGGCCTGACGGCTTTCTGCACAGCTTTGTTGTCACCCTCCAGCAGCATGATTGCCCGGTATCCTTGGTGGAGGTCTCCGGGCTTGCCTGGCTTTGGCACGCTCACTGACAGCCCTCCGCGCCACTGAACCGGCGAGGGGTCGCGGAGGAGGAGCTTACAGACCACTGGAAAGTAGTGGATAGCCAACAACATCGGATTGGATCTAAAAACCTCCGATGGGATGCCTGACAGGCCTGGTGCCCGACCCTTTTGGAGGCTAGCAAACCCCGACGCCAAGCGAGACAGGGTAGGGAGCGCATCCCCATCAAAGCAAGGCGCCGTTCCGTTGCTTCGGCTTGTCTGTACTAGCTCCGACACCGGCAGTGGCTCTGCACGCTCTGCGATGGCAAAATATTTACCAAAGCTGTCTGCCACGTCCTCTTTGGTGACAGGTCCGCCCGGCTCGCCGGTGAGGCTGGGCAGGAGTGCAGGCGCGCGGTATCGCCGTCCTGTCCGAAGGATGGCACGGAGTTTATGGGCGAAGACGGCTGGTCCGGCCTCCCTACACTGCGCGATTCCGCGCCTGGTGAACGCTGCCTTGTCTTGCCACATTGCCGCTCGCATCCGTTTGGCATGCCGATATTGTCGTGCCCAGGCACTTGCAGCACGCCTGCGATATTTCCGATCATGAAGACACAGGTTATGATCCGTGCGTGCTCCAAAGCGCCAGGCATGTAGACATAGCTGCAAATAGGCCCTGTCAGCCAGCCTTGACGCATGTTTGCTGCATCGACGGAGATGCCTGTGTACACGGACCAGCTCCAGCGTGGACTCAGTGAGTGCTGGGTTGCGGGGGGCCGGCGGGCCGTGCGGCTTAAAGCCTTTCATGCAGGCAAAAAGGTGGCGATGAATGCAGTCGACATGCGTCGTGCTATCTGCTATCCAAGGGACCGGAGGGCATGCCAGGGCGGCGACAGCTGCCGTGGTGGCCGCACATGGGTTTTGCCACATGCGTGCATCCAAGCTGTTGCGGGCAACTTGCTGGGGCGCCATGAGGCTGGCGCACAGGTCCAAACACACAGGCTGGTGATCAATATCTTCGTGCAGATCGCCAAGGAGCACTCCTGGACAAACATTTCCGTGCGCAGCCCATTCGTGTGGCCATGCTACATAGTCAATGAGTTTGCGGTGGCCTTTGGGGCTGGTCCATGAAAAGAGCTGCTCCCCGGTGGGAGTTTGCTGTGGGCTTAAGCACAAGCCCCGTCGGCTGGCAAGCTCAAGGAGCCTGGAGGAGTTGCCACATGTGGGCCGGCATTGGTGTGTATCTGCAATCTCAGCTCCTCCTGCAAACGTAGCATTCGCATCCATCATAAAGATGGGTATGCAGTTCGCTGGTGACTTGTGCAGGATGGTATCGTAATGCCCCCACCACTCTTGCAGGTCGGCGTCAGGCGAACAAGCGGGCAGTGCATGGGCCGACACAAGGAGGACTCGAACTCCTTTGAAAACACCGAGGGCGACTAGCACCTGGGGCTCTTTGTGAAGAATGGCGAAAGCCTGCCTGTCCCAGTGCTTGCTTCGCCTCACCCAGATCTGTGCTCCGCCGTGGCCCTGTTTCGTGCAAGGAGAATGCAGGACCCAGAAGTCATCGAGTGTTGTGATGCCTTCGGTCTTTAGTCGTGTCTCCTGGAGGCCGGCAACATCGACTCGGTGCTTCGCGAGGCCCTGAGCGATGAGGTCTGTCGCCCCCGCGCCGCGTAGAGAGAGAGCATTGTATTGCAGGATTCGCAGGCGGAGGTCAACCTGCTGGCTGGGCACAACTTGCGGGTGTGTGCCAAAGATCCGGTCAAGTGGCGTCGTGCGCTTGACCGCACAACTGGCCTGGCTCCATGAGCCCGAATCATTCAAATGTGGCAGGGTGCAGGCAGTGAGCGGATGTGACGGCACCAACCATAGCTTGGCAACAACCCCCTCAGAAATAGCTGCCCAGAAAGCAGAGAAGTCATCAGTGGGGGCGCTCCCTTGTTTGAGCACTGATTTGGCAGCTGCATCGGCTAGGCCATTGAGAGCACACCCCGCGTGGGCCAGCACCTTCTGGACAAGCACCGTTTTGCCCTGCATCATCAACAGTGCTCGTACCGCCACTGCTGCGTGGGCCACATCATCTTGGGGCTTGAGAGCGACCTGGCCCTGGATAACATCAATAGCCGCGGCACAATCAACACCAACGTGCACTAAAGGGCATGGGATCGCAGCGGCAACTGCGAGAGCATGGAGTGCAGCCTCCAGCTCCCCATCAAATGCTGAGAGTTCAGGTCGCACCTCCGAGCTGCCATGCACAGGTCCTCTCGCCAAGCCTGCCCGCATGCCCACTCTGCCAATGTGGCCGCCCTGACGAGCAATAATCACAACAGCCCAAGAGGCAAAGGGAGAGCCCGGGAAGAAAGAGCCATCCGTAAACATGAAAAGTTCATCGCACGGCTGAGAGGGATTCCAGTCTGACAGGTAAGACCATTGTCGCGAAGCCGTGCACTCCAGGTTGCTGAGGGGCGGCACTTGCTCAATAAAGCCTGGTATCACATGGTCAGCAAAGCACGCCTCGCAAATGTCGCCATTGACCCCCCAAGTAACCGCAGCCTTTGGCTTTTCCACGAGGTCTGCCAGGACAATTTGACGGCGTGTCGACGCAGAGTGCCGTCCTTCCTTGGGAGGAGCATCAACGCCTGTGGGACCCTGACACAGGGAGTTGCACCCCACTGTACTCTGTGCGGCCTGGAGCTGGCGGCGGCCAAATGGGGTTGGAACCGAGGAGACAGACACCTGACGCGACGAGGGGGCCTGAGTGTCTTTGTCCACGCCTGCGGGTCGTGGCTGCGAGACATGCACCTGGACCTGCAGCAAGCTGGTGCCTGCCGTCTCAGGTGTGGATGCACGGCCTCGAATGAGGCGCTCGCGGATCACGGCTCCATGTGTTGTTCGGGCCGGTAGCACGAGCTCGAAATTTCGTCGGACCGG